CCCCCCCCCCCCCCCCCCCCCCCAAAAAAAAACCTTGAACCTGTGTCCCCTAGTTGTTGATCCCTCCACCCTGAGAAAATGCCTCATACTTTCCACTCTATCCACGCCATTCACAATCTTATAAACTTCTATCAGGTCGCCCCTCAACCTCCTGTGTTCCAGTGAAAACAAACCCAGTCTACCCAACCTTTCGCCATAGCTAAAATCCCCCACACCAGGCAACATCCTGGTAAACCTTATCTGTACCCTCTCCAAAACATCCACATCCTTCTGGTAGTGTGGTGACCAGAACTGTATGCAGTTTTCTCCTTCAGAAGTTTTTGACATATCGCTGTTGTCCAGTCCCTTGGACATTTTTCTTCATTTTATGTGTGAGTGAGTCTACTTTTAATGTGGCAAGGCCATCACATGAAAAATCCAGTTATCTCACACCCTAATTCTTTGTCCACACATGTGGTTTCCAGTTTCTGACAGTAGAACCCTGGAACTTTATTCTGGCAGGATTTACCCCTCCTTAGCATAGGAGCACAGGCATTTACTATCGTGCTGAGATCTGATAACTTTGGCCAGGTTGCAAATTGAACCTGGGCTCAGCTTGGCTGTTTTATCTCTGGATTGCACATCTTTTTTTCTGTTTCACCCTCAGTATGAAATCACTTTGTCTTATATTGTTGGAATTTTAAACCAGTCCTGCATTATGATTTTTTCATTATTTGCACTGGTGCATCGTTGGTTCCTTTGCAACCTGGTAGTGAGTCAAGTTATTGTCCCACTTTGTGTATGGAGTCAGTCACAATAATCTGTTGTGTTTTTAAGATAAGATTGAATTTGCTGTTTATTTGCAGAGAATTGATGTCCAGTCAGAGGGCCTCATCAGTGATGTCATCTCAGCCCAAAGCTGGCTCATTTCTGTCATTGCTACTCTCACAAAGCAAGAAACCCTCAGGAAAAGGCCAGGTGCACCCAGGGCCTTTGCAGTCCTGTCAGAGTCCTGTGTCATCTGGAAAGAGAGATGGTGCCAACAATCAGGTATTGACAGTTTGTGCCAACTCCATTTGCTGTTTCAATGTTCTACAAACCAATCTTGGCTCTGCATCAGGATTTTTTCCATTGTTCAGACCACCAAGAGTAAAGAGAGTTTGGCCTCCAAAGAGGGAAAAGTACTGGTGAACACAGCTGCTGACACCAACACACTGCAGCAGCGACAGAGGAAGATACAGGACCATGAGAGAGACCCAAACTTGGTGCAGCAGCGACAGAAGAAGGTGCTGGACCATGAAAAAGAACGAAAGGATCTGTTATCCAAACATAATACACAGGTAAAAGTCAGATTAATCTGAATGCTAATCAGGATAATTGAATGTAACTTCCAGCAGGTTATGTTGGAGTGTTTTGAAGAAATCTTGAATGCTGCTGCAGGATCAGTAAGGTGTGCTGCACTGCAGTCCGCCTGCTACCTCCAGGCTGAGTTCGGATACAGTCGCAACAGAAAATGTAGTGCCGCTCAGCTGCCTCTGTGGTTTCTGACTCCCCACACAACTGCTCAGCATCCCACTATCGCTGCAAGTTATTACACAATTGGGGAAGTTTTCTACTGCTTTGAAGCTTAATTTGCACCATGTAATAGGATCAAGGCTGATCCGACGTGCTGCATGTCCACTTTGCTGCCCTTTCCTTTTAATCTTTGATCAAGAATCTATCTATCTCAGTCATAAATATAAACAAAGGCCTCTGCCCCCATGGCTCTCTATGACAAGGAGTTCCAAAGTCCCTCAAACATCTGAGAGAAGAAAATCCTCCTCACCTCATTCTTAAAATGGAGCCCTTTAATTCTCTGACTATGCTCTTTGGTCCTAGAGTCGCCCATGTGGAGAATTAAGCTCTCAGTATTTACCCTGTCAGGCCCTCGAAGAACCAGCACCTGCACCTTGATACAGTTGCAGCAAGACTTATCACCTTCTCTTACACTCCAACCCCGTTGAAATAAGGGCCGAATTCCATTCACCTTTCTGATTACCTTCTGCACCTGTGTGCTAGCTTTCTCGGTTTCATGCACAACTGCCCTCAAGTCCCTTTGTGTTGCAGCTTTCTGCACTTTTTCTCCAATTAAATAATATTCTGTTCTCTTGTTCTCCCTTCCAAAATGAAAACTTCACATTTTCCCACATTGTTACTTCATTTGCTAATGTTTTGCTCGCTTACTTAACCTATCACTATCTCTTTGTATCCCCCTCGTAACTTGCCTTTCCACTTATTTTTGTCATAGGCAAATTGCGCTGCAATACATGTGCTTCCTTCCTCCAAATCATTAATATTTATTGTAAACAGTTATGGTTCCCGCAGTGGTCCCTATCAAACCCCACTGATCACAGGTTACCAACCTGAAAAAGAACCCCTTATCTTCACTAAGATAACAAGGTGTAGAGCTGGATGAACACAGCAGGCATCATAGGAGCAGGAAGGCTGACGTTTCGGGCCTAGACCCTTCTTCAGAAATGGGGGAGGGGAAGGGGGTTCTGAAATAAATAGGGAGAGAGGG